GTATGCGGGCTTCTCTCACATGCGGCAGGTCGACAGGGAGGACCCTTGGTCGCCCATGCGCACCTCCTGTGTTCTGCAAAGGTTTGCATTTTATCATGCGGCATTTCTGTCCTGTCCCTGGCGTTCTCACGCTCTTCCAACTTCGCCCCTTCCTCCTCCTCCTCCTCCTCAGCCTCATCCTCCGCCTCCTCCTCCTCCGCCTCCGCCTCCTGCGCCTCCTGCGCCTCCTCCGCCTCCTCATACTCTGTGCTTCCTCCCCCTCGCCCCCCTCCCTTTCCCTGGCCCATGCCACGTCTCCGTCTGCAGCTGTCCACTTCCGTTTCTTCTTTCTCATCTCCCCTTTTCATGGTAATGGATGGGAGGGAGGGGTAGGACGTCAGATATGACGCGAGCGCACATAGCTTGCCTTTTCCCCTCTCCGTCTCTCTCTTCCCTGGATCAACTAGTCATTAGAAACATTTGTGTCTGTCGTATCTCCTGACCATGTTGTGGCTTTCGCCCCCCCCCACCCCCCACCTTCAGGCTCTCCGCTCGTCTGGAGTGGCTCTGCCCCTGCGCTTGCCGTGTGCCTGGCCCCGTCTATCGCAGGCTCGCGCCGCGTCGACACAGGGGGGCGACCCCAGCGCGGGCCTCCCGGGCCGAATGCCGTCAGCGGCCTGGAACCGGCCGTCAGCGGTCTGGAACCGCGCGGACGGGGAGCCGCAGTCGTTCAGCGCGGACCGATCTTCGCGGTGTCACAGGCCAAGGCGAAAGGAACCGCGACACGAACCCGCCGTGCCACTCGGAGGGCTACTCGCTACTCGCTGTAGGCCTCCTAGAGGGGGTCGGAGTAGATGGGGCCGGAGGATCGCGCCGCATCGCCGATGCATCGGCGATGCGGCTCGACGTGGAGCCCGTGTGTCCCCACGCCGACATCGCCGATGCATTGCCGACGTTGCAGGTGCATCGCCGATGCGTCGGTGATGCATCGGCGATGCATTGGCGATGCGGCGCTATCCTCCGACCCCATCTACTCGGACCCCCTCTAGGAGGTGTCTACAGTCGTAAGGAACCCCGACACGAACCCGCCGTGTCACTCTGAGTGCTGCTTGCAAGGAACCACAACCAGGAGGGAGAGGGGATGGGGACGGAGGAGGAGGAGGAGGAGGGGAAGAAGGAGGAGGTGGAGGAGGAGGAGGAGGAGGAGGAGGACCAGTGTAAACCCAAGAGTCACCAACGATGTTGGAATAAACTCTCCCCCAAGTTCCTTCTTCATAGACCCTACAACGGTTCACTCCCACAGAGGGACTTGCCTCGTTGGAAGTCAACCGTTTGAATACCCTCAAGCATGCCAAAACATTACTCTCGGTATTCCAACGCCACGGATGAACCTGACTGTTGCGTCTTGACGATCCCGAATCGTGCCAGACCGTCATTCCTGTGACCTCAACTCCGCGAATCATCGTAACTGTTGCGCCCTCAAAATCGTGAATCCTTCCAAAACGCCATTCCTGGTACGTTGATCATGGGAATCCGTGAAACTCTTGCAATTTATAACAACGAATCTGCGCGGCGCTAAGGCGAGAGCCACATTTTGAAAAGGAATCGCCCTCGATCCGTGAAACTCTTTGCAAACTTTGAAGACGAATGTGTGCGGTGCTAAGGCGAGAGCCACATTTTGAAAACGACCCGCCCTCAATTCGTGAAGCCCTTGCAATTTTTGAAAACGAATGTGCGCGGCGCTAGGGCGAGAGCCACATTTTGAAAACGACCCGCCCTCAATCTGTGAAACTCTTTGCAAATCTTGAAAACGAATGTGCGCTTGACTAAGGCGAGACCCACATTTTCAAAATGACCCGCCCTCAATCTGTGAAACTCTTTGCAAATCTTGAAAACGAATGTGCGCGTGATTAAGGCGAGAGCCACATTTTGAAAACGACCCGCCCTCAATCTGTGAAACTCTGGCAAATTTGGAAAACGAATATGCGCGGCGCTAAGGCGATAACCACATTTTGAAACCACCCGCCCTGCATCTGTGAAACCGTTGCCAATTTTGAAGCTTCAGGGTCATAAATGGTGAGGAGGTCTCAGGCGAAACGCCCGGCCCGCCCTGAAAATTGGCCTCGGGGTGTGACAGGGAGGAGTTATTTTCAAGGAGAAGGAATGGAGGAGGAGGAGGAGGAGGAGGAGAGAGGAGGAGGAGGAGGAGGAGGAGGAGGAGGAGGAGGGGAGGAGGGAGGAGAGGAGGGAGGAGGGAGGAGGAGGCGGTAGGGAGGAGGAGGGAGGAGGAGGGAGGAGGAGAGGAGGAGGAGGAGGAGGAGGAGGAGGACGAACCACCACGACACGAGTGCTACTCGCCACTCTCGCTTTTGCCCTGACCGCGTCCCGGTCCTCTCCCGCCGCCCTCTCCGAGCACGCCTGGCGTCTTCAGGCGGCAGCGGCGCAGAGGCGGCATCGGGCCCCGCCCTGCCCTCACAGGCTCCTCTTTCTTCTCCTGCTCCTCCTCCTGCTCCTCCTCCTGCTCCTCCTCCTCCGCCTTCTCCCCCTCCTCCTCCTCCTCCGTCTCCTCCTCCTCGCCCCCTCCTCCTCGTCTCCTCCTCCTCCTCCTCCTCCTCCTCCTTCTCTCCTCTTCCTCCTCCTCCTCCTCCCCCTCCTCCTCATCCCTCTCCCCCCTCTTCCTCCTCTCTTGACCTCCGACGCCGCGCCGATGCATTGCCGATGTCGCGGCGCGATCCTCCGACCAGATCTACTCGGACCCCATCTATGAGGCCTCTATCCTCGCCCCCCTCCCCCTCGTTCCTGTGCGTTGTCGTCCTCCCTTCCCCTCCCTCGTCGTCGTGGGCTTCCTCTTTCCTTCTCATCCTCCCCCGCGTGTCCGTGCCACGCGCCGCGATGCTCTACTGCGCGCACCTTGTGCTCTGGCCTCCCTGCGAGCTGCCCGGTTCCAACTCGCCCCGTCCCTCTGGTGTGAAGCAGGCGCCTGGCTAAGCACCGCAGGTGCAGTTGAGGGATCAGGGCCCAGGGCCCGATCCGTCGCTCAGGTCGGCGAGCAAGAATGGCCTGGGCTTAATTCGGGGGCGGGCACGAAGGGGGTGATGACTAGGGGTGTGTGGATACCATGGCGGGGGCCATGAGACCTCTCCAGATTTCATGGCCATCTTATTCTTTCAATCCTTCCCCTTGCCCCTTCCTGGACCGCGCACGTGCCTCGGGCCATGATTTGCGAGCCCCCATTTTCGACGCCCCCACTTGAACGCCCCCGAAGGTCGGCGAGCAGGAGCGGAGGGGGTGGGGTGCCAGATGCGGCGCGAGCGCGCTCAGCTCTTCATGCTCCCTCCTTTCGGCGGCGCGCCGAGTTGGGAAGTGAGTGGGGGCAGGCCTTCTCAGAAGGCGGCTTGGTTTCTCAGAAGCTCTCTGGCCTTCTCAGACCCTGTCTGTGGCTTCGTAGACGACTCGGAAGGCCTCCGGCCTGCTGAGAAGCCTTTTGAGCCTTCTCCGCAGCTTCAGAGAGATCCTCCGAAGGCTCGAGGCCTCCCGAGCCTCCCGAGAGCGTGCGCTGCCGCTGCTCTCCCCTTCTTGGCAATCCACCGGTCCTCCCTTCCTTCCTTTTCCTTGCCCTCCTCCCCCGGGAGGAGGCGGCCGAGGAGGCTCCTCCGCCTGCTCCTGGGGGGGTCAGCCTCTCGTGGGGGTCAGGTAATCAAGAGGGGAAAAAACACACAGACACAATTAATCGTCGACCCCCAGGAAAATATAGGAAAATATGGGGAGTGGGGGGAAGACGAAAACCTAGAAAATACGGGAAAATATGGGGAATCCTGTTATTTGCGTGAATTTATTTGTGTGTCCTGGGGCCCCTTCAGGTAAGCTCAGTTCCTTGGGCCATCCTTGTTCGTGGCCGTGTTTGTCTCAGCGAACAGATTCTCCGATGATTTTCGCTTAGCGCCTGCCCTTCGCTGACTCAGGCCCCCCGGAAGTCTGACTGACCCCTTTGGCTCGGGGGTGGACAGAGCCCCCACCCTGGCACGCCGATCAGTGGATTGCCCGCCTTCGGTTACGGAGAGGGCGCCGCGGCCGTCGCTTTCCAGGCCTGCGCCCGCCAGGTTTGGACCCGAGGTCGTTTTCACTAAAGCCGCGTTGTGCTAAAGTGGGTTTTGTCCATCGCCGATCTGCAGGCGACCGAGGGGGCGGCCGACGGGGTGGGCCCCGCCCCGGCGCGCGCAGGACCACTGTCTGGTGTTCGTCTCGTTCGCCACGCAGGCCCAGGCCCGCGCGGCCCACGCGTGTCGCCTTCAGCGCGGCTCGGCGGCTCCCGCCGCGGAGGACGAGCAGGGACAGCAGAGGAACATAATGGGGGGGGAGGGGGAGGGGGAGGGGGAGGGGGAGGGGAGGAGGAGAGGAAGAGCCCAGCGGGGCCTGGGAATTTGATCCCCCTGGCTGCACCGTCCCATCAGGCACGAGGTTCAGGCTGAGCCGTCGCACTCGAGGCCGGACACGTCCTGTCCTCGGGTGGCACACCAAGGTGGTATACCAGGTCTTTGGTCCCACCAGTGGGGTTGAAGGCGCCCCTCAGCCATCTCGCTTCAAGGAGGAGGCGGAGCAGGAGGAGGAGGAGGAGGAGGAGGAGGAGGAGGAGCAGGAACAGAGAGAGCTAGGTCACCGCGGGGGCGCGAAGGTGATCGCGCTTCGCGCGCAGCGGTTTGGACCAGAGTGGTTGCCCGTGTCCGCAGGGGCGCAGGCCGCGAAGGCACGAATGTAAACGCGCGTCGCGCATCGGGGTGCGCGATGCGCGACATCTGGTGATCTGGGCGATGATGGTGATGATGATGATGATGATGATGATGATGATGATGATGATGATGATGATGATGATGATGATGATGATGATGATATGAGGAGGAGGATGATGATGCTGACGACGCCGATGATGATGCTGATTCTGATGCTGACGCTGATGCCGATGATGATGATGAGGATGGTGAGGATGATGAGGATGATGAGGATGGTGATGGTGATGGTGATGACGATGATGCTGCTGCTGCTGATGCTGATGATGATGATGGTGATGATGATGACGATGATGATGGTGATGATGATGGTGATGATGTTGGTGCTGATGATGCTGATTGTGATGAGGATTGTGATGCTGCTGCTGGTGAGGATGATGATGCTGATGATGATAATGATGATGATGATGCTGATGATGATGCTGCCGATGGTGACGACGACGATGATAATGGTGATGCTGATGGTGCTGATGATGATGATTACGAAGATGACGTTGACGATGATGATGATGTTGATGATGGTGATGATGATGAAGATGGTACTGATGTTACTGATGATACTGATACTGATGATGCTGATGATAATGATGGTGATGATGATGCCGACGATGCCGATGATGCCAAGTATGATAACGATGACGGATATGATGATGATCATGCTGCTGTTGATGATGATGCTGCTGATGATGAGGATACAATGGCGACGATAATGACGACGCTGATGATGGAACTGATGCTGATGGTGATGCTGATGATGCTGCTGTTGTTGATGATATCGAGTATGCTGCTGCTGACGACGACGATGATGATACTGACGAGTGTGTTGTGGGCGGTGATGATGACGATACTGCTGATGTTGTTGATGGTGGTGCTGATGATTGTGATGCTGATGGTTGCGATGATGATGTGTTGATAACGATGGCGATGATATTATGATTGTGGTGACCATGGTGATGATGGTGAGGGTGATGATGTTGTTGATGATGACGACGATTATCATACTAATCATGATACTGATGGTGATGATGATACTGCTGATGATGATTATGATGATGACGATGGTGATTTTGATGGTGTTGAATCTGACGGCGATGACGATGACGGTGACGACGGCGACGACGATGACGAACACGACGACAACGATGATGATGCTGATGCTGCTGATGTTGTTTGTGATGGTGACAACGACGATGATGATGTTGATTGTGGTGGTGGTGGTGATGATGATGATTCTGATGCTGATGCTGATTATGATGATTAGGAGGATGATGATGAGGATGATGATGCGGGTGCTGATCCGAATTTGAATGATGCCGATGCCGATGACGATGCTGATGACGAGATTGATGATGACGATGATGATGATGATGATGAGGATGATGATGCTGATGAGGAGGAGGAGGGTGAGGAGGAGGGTGAGGAGGAGGAGGAGGATGAGGATGATGACGATGACGATGACAACGAGGATGATGATGCTGACGATGGGAAGGAGGATGACGATGACGATGACGATGATGATGATGATGATCATGATGATGATGCTGATGCTGATCATGATGATGTTGATGATGATGTTGATAATGATGATGATGCTGATGATGATGATGCTGATGATAAGGATGATGATGCTGCTGATGTTGCTGGTGATGATGATGAAGGTGATGACAATGTTAATGATGATGATGTTGGCGTCTTCGATGGTCATTACGATGTTGCTGGTGATGACGACGACGATGCCGACGATGGTGATGATTACGATGGTGATGGTGACGATAGTGACTATGCTGATGCTGATGAGGATGATACTGTTGATGCTGATGATGCTGATTCTGATGCTGGCGATGACGATGATGATGGTGATGCTGATGATGGTGATGATGATGATGATGTTGATGGTGGTGCTGGTGGTGGTGGTGGCTTCGGTGACGATTGTGACGGTGACGATGCTCGTTCAGTTACGTTTGATGTGGTGGTGCTGCGTGTGGAAGCACACGTCTATGATGTTGCTGCTGATGACGATGATGAGTGTGATGCGGATGAGGACGCGGATGAGGATGTGGACGTGGACGAGGCTTATGATGATGAGGATGATGGTGGTGGTGATGATGATAATGCTGTTGATGAGGGACAAAATGATGATGATGCTGATGATGGTGGTGATGATGATGACGACGAGGATGACGATGCTGCTGATGATGATGATGATGATGATACTGATGATGCTGATGATGATGATGATGCTGAGGATGATGCTGATGACGCAAATGCTGATACTGATGCTGATGCTCATGATGCTGTTGCTGATGATGAATATGATGCTGATGCGGAGGATGATGATGCTAATGATGATGATGATGTTGATAATGGTGATTCCGATGATTGCGATGATGAAAATGATGATGATGATGATGATGATGATGATGATGATGATGATGATGATGATGATGATGATTTTTATTATTATTCTGATGCTCATTCTGATGATGGTGAGATGCTGATGATGCCGATGATGATGATGATGATGAGGATGGTGAGGCTGATGCTGATACAGATGAATATGATGATAATGGTGATGGTGATGGTGATGGTGATGGTGATGATGAGGCTGATGATGCTGATGGTGACGATTCTGATGATGATGATGACGAGGATGAGGCTGCTGCTGCTGATGACGATGATGATGATGATGATGATGATGATGATGATGATGATGATGATGATGATGATGATGATGATGATGATGATGATGATGATGATGATGATGATGATGATGATGATGATGATGATGATGATGATGATGATGATGATGATGATGATGATGATGATGATGATGATGATGATGATGATGATGATGATGATGATGATGATGATGATGATGATGCTGATGATGATGATGATGATGATGATGATGATGATGATGATGATGATGATGATGATGATGATGGATTGTTGTTGTTGTTGTTGTTGTTGTTGTTGTAGAGGCAGTGATGATGCTGAGGACGAGGTTGTGAAGTAGGGGATGGAGGACGGGGATGGGGGGAATAGGCAGGTGGAGCAGGTGGAGGAAGGGAGGGAGGGAGGGAGGAGGGGAGGGAGGGAGGGAGGGGGAGGGAGGGAGGAGGGAGGGAGGAGGAGGAGGAGGAGGAGAGGAGGAGGAGGAGGAGGAGGAGAGGAGGAGGAGGAGGGAGGAGGGGGGAGGAGGAGAGGAGGAGGAGGAGGAGGAGGAGGAGGAAGGAGGAGGAGGAGGAGGAGAGGAGGAGGAGTCGCAGAAGGAGGAAGGAGGGAGAGAGAGGGATGGGGAAGGGGGAGGATGATGGACGTGATGTGGGGGACCCCTCCGCTCCTTCGTTTCCCTCGCTCTCCTTGAGCAAGAGATGAGGGGTCCCGTGCATTGGTTCACAACGTGGCAACGGTCCACTAAGACGCAACGTTGCGCGGGCGTCGCCTGCTCGACGCAAGTGGGCCGTAGCTTCACATTCTTCTTCCTCCCTCCTCCTCTTCCTTCTCGTCCCTCCCTCCTCGGTCCAACTCCCTCGTTCCTCCCATTCCGTCCCCCTTCTTACCTCCTGATCATTGTCGTCGACCTCTTCCTGTTTGTTCCGCCACCCTTCCTCGGCGTCGCCGTCCTCATGCTGTTCCTTCGTCTGCACTCTTGTACAAAATGAGTGCTACTCTCGTCTCTGACATGATACCGTCAATTGCATCCGCGGATTCTCTTTTCCACACAGCTGTTGTTCTCACTCGTGTGCATTCTCGGAACTGTCCTGGTCCTTCGAGTCGGTGCTCCCGCCGCAGCGTTGGCCACATCCCAGGATCGGCGCGTTTCCCCCGCCGTTCAGAATTGGCGGTCTCGCCCCAGGCCACACGTTTTCGGCCCCGAGCAGTTCTCGTCGCTGCAGCCCCCCCTTTTATCCACTCCTCCTTCCCCGCTCCTCCTGGTCCTCCTGCTCCTCCGGCTGCTTCTCTTCTCTTCCTCCTTCCTCCTTCCATGTACAGTCGGGCAAAGGTATAAGATCGAGGTCGGTTCGGGGAGGGTGCCCTAGCCTTCTTCGTGTTTGTGGGATGTTCTTGTGCATCCTGGGGATGGTACCCTTGGATGTTCTGTTTGCTTTGGCCAGCGTAGGGTCTCATGTTCTGGAATGATGATCTTCTGGCCCAGGTCCGACTGTACAAGGTCCCCTCTACCGATTGCTCAACAAACGGGGGTTCAACTCCTGCAACTGCCGTTTGGGGATGACGGTCCTTCGGGACATCCCAGGCGCAGTTGGGAGTGATGTGCGGGAGGGGCAGGATGTCCGATGTGGTGCGAGCTTTCCTGGCTTGACTGCTCCCCTCCCGCCCTTCACTTTTTTTTCTCCCCCTCCCTCTCCTCCTCCCTCTCTCTCTCTCTCTCCCTAGTGACAAGGCGCAGTTCGTGGCGGATGCGTTGACAGGCTATGTGTTCGACGAAGAGGCGCGGTTCTGCGCTTCATGTTGCAC